ATACACAGATTTTTCAAAAAAACTTTTTCTTTCTGATTTTCAAAAGATACTTTTATGCGAGTCAATAGAGGAATGTGTGATAATCAATACTCGATGGAAACTATTTCATTTGATGGAGCTTTTTGATTAATTGTTGAACGAAAGTCGAATATATTTTCTATAGAAAATGAGTCACTTTTTGGGTTTCTTTCAATAATTCCCTATAGACCATTCCACAAGACACCAGGCCAATTCTTGCATAGCTTTATAGTACTCAGACCGAATGCTTCAGCCATATGAGTCCGAATTCTACACACCCTACATATTGGGACATCAAACCCGGCCAAAGTCGCGATTTTCGTCATAATCATGATTTTGAGAAAGGTCTTCTGAGCGATAGGAATTATCGACAGAGCTGAATTTTTACCAGAGTAATCACTGAATAAGATGTGTCTGAAGACAAAACAGTAGCACCCTAACACGATCCACTCATAGAATATGTATATGTGCAAATCATCGAAAAATGGCCGCTCTCGTTTATCTGGTAGTAGCAGTCAATTCAATAACAGTTCACTCATTTGAACTAACTCTTTTATGATAAGTACGTCTACTGAGAATATATGCATCATAAAAATATTCAAGTCAAACAGATGTATTTCTGGCGAGATATAAATGTCATAATAATATCGGGTGTGGGTGTGAGTGGGTGTAGATGTAAATATGTGGATCAGTGCCACCGTCGTGTGTGTACGTGGATGACGATTAAGATTGACCTGCGCAATAGTACATAAGTTTTCATGTTTAGTATATACTTTGCGCAGAAACTAGTGATTATAAATCTATTTCATACATATCTTATATATGGTCTGTCGATCTTATGTTGCGATGGCGAATTACATCCTGACTGTTAGATATTTGACTCAAAAGCATAATTTACGTCATTGTTGTTGGGTACATCAGACCGTGACAACAGTAGTTGAAAAATCGAACTATCGACTTAGAAGAATTGTCCGTTCTAAAAATGGTTTCGCTGGTACACACAAAGATTGACTCGTTCTTCTCATGTATATTTAATGAGTTGACTAATCAAGATCGAAGCATAACTGTTTGAATAACAATTATGAAGATTTTGACGAAAAATGTAATCAGTTTCGAATATGATTATGTGCCTGTTATGAGCTAATTTGTTTCGAAATCAGGTTCTGTATAACTTACAGATGCTTTTGTTGAAGTAGAATGCTGGACTTACTACTAGACTAGAAAATCAATTTCAACGAACAAGAAATTGTTTCTTGATCGTTGACATCGAAATAATGATGTCATATGGTACACTCATAAATGGACACTGATTTCTAACAAAGAAAAAATAAGACTCATCAGTAAAGCGTCAAGGGAGAAACGATATACTCCTGTATTCCGCAGAATCCATGTACTTCAACTGGACTCCCTGAACTCCGTAGACCCCTGGAGCACAAAGAAAAACAAGATACTTTGTACTTCCGGAGCTCAAGAGGTGCACAGAGTACAATTGGAGCCCATGGAACCCCCAGAGTCCATCGAATACAAGAAATCCAAGCAGTATAGAATTACTGGACTGTGTCGTTTCCTCTTGGTTTATTCTCGATAGACTCTTTATTCTACTGGCCTCCGTATGTTCTGGGAGTACCATGGTACGCTGTTACTCCCTTGTAAAGCGTATATTATATGATAATAAAAATGATAATGTTATGAACAGATGAAAACGTTAAGTATATCGAAAACTATTTTTCAAAGTAACGTATTAGTACACAAGAGGGCATAATTGGTAAGTATACATTGAAAGATGTTGTTGTTAATCTATAGTAAAGTAGCAACTCTTGATCGATATAAGAATAAGTTTTTTTCTAAATCAGATCTCAACCCTTTATTTAATGCATCTGGATCACGATAGCTACAAAAGTTGTTCTGAAGATCAAGGAACATGTTCTATCATTTGATAGCAATATATACATGTACTAAGTTAGCTGATTTAGGATGTTAAATTCAATAAATATCATTTATCATTATCTATTGTTCCTTTTATTCTCTGGAGCTCTCGAGGGAAGAGTTTCTCAAAAATATCATCTTGTTTACCGCTTTCGCTTGAATTCTGACAAAAGCTGCCTGTTATGATCGCTCTCAATATCTCATCAAAAAGCCGATCAGGGTTGTTTGACCAAATAAATACCAAATGTTCTTACCGAGCATCAAGGTCTCCTATTGTTTCTGAAATGCGAGAGGAGCAGAAAATTCTCCAAAAGGCTAAAAATTTATATAAAACTGAACATACTAAAATTATACGCATTCTGAAAAATGAAGAGCCAGGTTTCTAAAGTTCGATAAGTCAATTAATTTTGCAATTTTTCGGGGGACTAAACCCTCAAGCCTCAACCTAATAAAGAAGACAGCTTAGCAAGAATCATTGATTCAAAGTTGCTAGTGAACTATTAATTTCTCGTACGTGGACAATAAAAATAAACCTCTAGAATTTGGCAACTTGATTTATTTTATATGGAAGCTATGAAGAGTATCGTGTTGCTACTGATTATGGGTGTCACTTTTGCTTACCGTTTCTAGGAACGGGAACGGGAGATGCGTTTGCGTTCTTAGGAACCGTAACATGACATTCGCGCGCCGACATTTACGTGCATGACAGAAGCGTGCAAAATGAATTTTCTACTCAGTTTATATTAAGTATACGGTAGGTGTAGGTGTCTCGTATGCTAGGCTAGGCGGCGCGCGTGGATATAGGTGTGGATGTGAGACTTTTCACCTGATGCAACTGCGACGCACTCCACATCTGCCGTCACACTCAACCCAAATCGTTAGCCAGCCACACGCCCCCTTTCTCTACGTCTAGGACACGAGATACCTACACGTAGGAGTGCTCCATTAGATTTAGAATTAGTATTAGAATTAATGATTGAGACTGATACCTAAGCGTTATCGGCATTAGAGCTAATTAATACAATGATGTTAGCATTAAGTATTATCTTTAACTCTAATTCGTCTATCCAATGTAAGCTTTTCAGAGCTGCCTAAGTATCCTAATCATAACCTTGCAGGTGTTTTCCAGGAATGGCACCAAGATCAGGTGCTACCTGTAGGATTTCAGAAGGCATCTGCAGCATCTCAAACGATGCCTCTAGCATCATAGGAGTTGGCTCTATCGTCTCAGAAATTTACTCTAGCATAGTAAAAGATCGCTGTAGTATTACACGTGGCACTTCTAGCATATGAAGAGGTAATTCAAGTAATCCAGCAAGTACCTGTGGCATCTAAATATGTGTCTCTAGAATCTCAGGATGTGGCCCTGTCACTCCAAGAGGTGTCTGTAGCACTCCATGGGTAGCTCTACCATTCCAGGAATTCCGCTAACATTCCAAGAAGTACCTCTAGCACACCAGGATGTGACTGTAGCATCTCAAGAAGCGGTTCTACAAATTCCGGAAGTGCATCTAACCTCTTAGGTAGTGTCTTTGTTATCTTTGATCTTGCGTGACCATTTATACTTCGAATTTTTGACCAGAAAAGCTACAAGAAGCATGTTCAGGTACCCCTGTAAATGCTGCACTGCGTGCATATATTAGAATTAAAGATAATGCTAACTTGATGGTAACGACTTGGTATTAGTTTACTCTGATGCCAATAATACTTAAGTATTAGACTTAACGATTAATGCTAATACTTGTGCATTAGCATTATTTTAATGCCAATGTCAACATGGCACCTCTACCCACATCCATATGTAACAAAAATAGGGCAAAAAAATTCATTTTGCGCGTTACTGTCGTGCGCAGAAGTGTTGTGTAACCCTTAGAAACGAGAATGCACAGCGATCTCGCATCGAACGACACGCAAAGAAGTATATAAATCTCAGTATGTTGAAATAATTCTCGTAAAAAACATTTGGATATGCTTTCCAATTCCTGGAAACGGGGACGCCAAATACTGTTCCATAAAAAGGCAAGCGAAGAGGTATTCAAATCTTAGTACATGAGAAAATGCTAGAAAACGTAACTTTGAGATGCGGTCCCGTTCTTTGCGAACGGTACGCTCAGGAACGAGAACGCTGACACCTCTACCACTGATGACGCACGATATTCGATCTCCGTAAATACGAAATTAACGTTTTATAAACTGTGATTATCCGCGGAATGATTTTTTTCATTGAACCTTTCATGGCGACTCGTCGTGTTAATTTTTTCTTTCAAAAAGATATTTTCGTAAAAGCGCTCATTGATCGATTCCTTCTAGAAATTGGATCGACGTATTTCTATTCACTCGCAATATCGATCATTAACAAAAACAACTTCAATCAACTGAAGGCGAAATACGAGGAGCGTATACATTTATTTTAAAACTTTACCTTCGAAATGTTCTTTGATATTCAGTGTTGACATACTAAAAAGAAAAAACTATCAGAATTTTATCGTTTTAGAATGATATTTACTTGGTGACGACCGATGTTGTTGTTGCATTGCTTTTATCTCCACTTACTCCGGTTGATGGAAGAATATTCTAGAAATAGACGAAAAAAAAAATTATTAACACAATCATGTTTGATTTAGTCACTTGTGGTCCAAGATCAATAAGTTTAACAGGTGAGTCGATTTCTTTCAATTGTACGATGTTCATATCAGGACCTTGTGGGAGACATGCAACAACTTCAAAACATCGAGCGGCCGGTAAAAGAATTTCACTTTCACGTGGAAAAGCGGAATGTTTTTGAATGTCTTTCCCTGTTTTACAATGGATATTGAACAAAGTTCTAACTCCTGTTGAACCGAGAAATTGATCATTACTCAACACGCTCAGATCCGAAGTACATGAACTAAATCCCCACCAAATTATTTTTTCTCCAGTTTTATATGCGCTTTGTATGCTATCTTTAACCCCGCGGTAAACATGACTTTGAAGGTTTGGCAGCAGCGCAAGAGCTGACAGCAATAAGCGCAGATATAAAAACCATGGTTTCAGGTTTTTCCGATCCTCATCTCGAAGGGTTGAATTGAGTGTATAATATACACATTCTTTTTCATCGTTCGGTTCCATTGTGTAAAGGATAATGGCTGCTGATTGATCAACACTTAGATTGTCTGCTGGTGGCTCAGCACATTTCCATTTAGCCCACGCGGCATTATTCTGGATATTGTCCACAATGTTTTCCAGAGGCTCAACTGCCTCTTTCAATGTAACTATTGACTTTTTTTCATAGCCACTAATTGGCATTAATTTTCTGCGAGGATTTTCTTCAACGTCGGAAAATCGTTTGTGTTGGGATTCTTGATCAGCGACATACTTGAAGGCCATGTTTGAAACTTTTCGTTGATTTAAACAAAAAATTTTAAAAAATCTGAAAAAATGAGTCGATTCCTTAACCTTATCTGATTAAACTCTTCTATATTGAATAAGAAAAAGCTCTTATTAACAGCAACAAGTCATCATATTTTTTCAATTATATGTGATAAGTGACAGAGAGACAATCGTAGATAATAGACATACACATTTCTCTAAAAAAACCTAACTGTCATTTCATGTTCAACGCACAAAAACAGTTCTTCCTTCGTGAAAAACTTGTTAACGATAAGACATAATAAGGATTCTTCCAGCTCACAACAAAACCACATTTATGGGTGTGGGTATGGGTGTGTGGGTGGGTGTGGGGTGGGTGCGGGTGGCTGGGTGTGGGTGTAGGTGTGGGTGTGGATGAGGATGAGGGTGTCAATGTGGGTATGGGCGTGGGTTTGGGGTGTGGTGTGTGGGTGTAAAGTATGGGTGGATGGGGTGTTGGTGTGCGGTGGGTGTGCGAGTTGAAGTGGATGAGAATGGAACTGGACATCCGTGTGAGTGAGGGTGTGTGGTGTCTATGGATTGAGATCTCGATTTACTCATACGAACACCATTTCGCACTTGCACTCAATAAGAATTCTGCTAGGTACGACTGGCTCGCAAATGGCTGAGAAGTTAGTGTCCTGGAGCAAGTGTCGTTGGGAAAGAAATGTCGCAGAAGCATTTGCCTGGCGAGTATCTTTCATGGAATTCCATTGTTGTCATATTTGCGGCCGTTTTTTTCATACTTAGGGCTATTTTTTCCCAACTTATCATCTGGTAATTTCATTACAGACAGTCGGACATGTACAGGTGAATTTTCGCTTCTAGGTCCTATCCTTTCACTCTAAGGAAATAATCCATTGGAAAGTCGTTTCTCGCTAGAGTTGACTGTCAGCGTATGTCAAACTGCTCCTCAACACAGCATTACAGTCACATTGAAAAGAGATCGAATGCACAACTCACTATATTAATAGTATATTGAAGCAGATGATTACTTTGAAAGAAAGCTTGACGACGTTCGTCCTTTAATGTATGTCGAAAGCGAAAAACAAAAATGAATTGCTTCGAAAAATGAAATAGTCTTTTTCGCTATAGGCAAACAACAACAATCAATTGAAGAAAAAGAAACGAGCGCAAGGATCGAAAAACCAACATGAAAATAAAAGTAAGCAGAGAACGAGCGATGCTATTGATATATGCACTGCATTCTTTTCCGTCATACGTGATTGAAAGAGAAAAAAACACTGTATTTCGTTTCACTTCATTTGTGTAAACAAAGAAAGAAAATAACAACCTGCTAATGTGACTGCTCGAAAAAGTACAGCTCTTCACACATTCCCCGAAAGAGAAGATGAAATTGAAGACCGTTCGTTGACGACGATCGCATCAAACTAGAGCATATATACAGCTTTCTCTCAACAGTACTGGCATTAGTTTATCACTTCTTCATGAGGGTGTGAGTGTGGGGTGGAGGTTGGCGTGGGTGGTTGCGTATATGGGCCGTCGATGGATGCGAATGTGGGTAGGGGCGTGCATTTGGATTTGGGCGTTAATGGTACTGAAAAAAGACTCACATCCACACTCACTCCAAACGAACAACAGCAACCGTACCGCACACACCCCCCACACCGCTCACACGCACCCCCCCCCCCCGCCTCACCCGTACTCACACTCCTGTAGGCCTTAGAAGGGCTTCCGTGCCATAGTTGTGGAGTGTGAGTGTGGTTGTATGTCAGGAGTGTAGGTGGGTGAGATGTGGATGTGGCTGGATGTGTGGCTGTTGGTGTAGGTGTGGGTGGGTGGGTGGGTGTGGAAGGTATTGTGTGGGTATGAGTGGGATGTAGGTGAGGCATGAGTGATTGTGGGGTGGGTGTGGATAAATTCTTGTCTCACTCACACTCACATCCACACCCACACATGTGTACCACCCGCCATCCTTTTAAAACGTAACACGGTGAGAGAAATTTTTGAAGCATGTATTTCAAAATTGTCATCATTCACAACAGACACTCACGGCAGTCAAAATTTATTACTTTAAATCGGATGTTATGAACATTTGGCGTATACACAATATATGATGAATGCATTACAAACTAATACGATTTGACAAATTCTGTAGTTATATATCACTGAAGTTCGAAAATGTGCTTAGACTCGTAGACGACTGCCAAACATGTCTGTAGATAAAATCGAATTGAACTTTGTCTAAAGAGATCGAATGTGAATTTCACTTCGAAGTATGTCGAATTTTGTAGAATGTCTTGTTTTTCAATAATTTACTCTGGCTCTTTTTGCATCTTGTTTCACAATTGATTCAAAATCGGTGAGTCATATAGATCAGAGATGTCCATCGCGGCTGAAAATCTGCCGCTGCCGCGCCGCGACGGTTTATAAAAAAAGTCGTCGCGGCGCTGCCGCGCCGCGATGGTCTATAAAAAAATGTCGCCGCGGCGCTGCCGCGCCGCGATGGTCTATAAAAAATGTCGCCGCGGCGCTACCGCGCCGCGACGAGTAATAAACTTGCCACTGCCGCACCGCTGCCGCGCCGCTGCCGCGATGGTTTTCAAAAAAGTGTTTCGAATTTCACTACAGCAACTATATGGGACCAGAAATATTGGTACTAGTTCCTCAGATTCATTCAGTCTCAGAGTGTTTCCTCTGTAAACAATGAAATTCTATCAAATTCATGCAGTTTTCCAATGTCCTCGAAAAAAATTCTGTCGCTGTCGCCCCACTGCCGCGATGAATTTTTAAAAACTTTGCCGCTGCCGCGTCACTGCCGCGATGAGTTTTTGAGAAACCTGCCGCTGCCGCGTCACTGCCGCGATGAATTTTTGAGAAACCTGCCGCGGCGCGGTAGCGGCAGCGGCGCGGCGGCGGCGCGATGGACATCTCTGATATAGATATTCATTTATATTATTTAACTGTAGAATAAAGGTTATTGAAATAATTACGAAAGGATTTCGAACATTGTTCTTTCAGCGTACAATACGATGGATTTATTTTTACTACTTGAAAGAATAATGATATCCATCTGCAAAAACTGCCCATAGAATTAAAAAAAAAACAAATTGATAATACAATTTTGTTCTATATTTAGTAGTTAGAATTTGTTGAGAAAGAATTGTGAAATGGAAAAAGATGCAGTTTTCAATTTTATTTTTTCTTACTTTTTAATATTACATGAGAACTAATAATGAAAATCTTATACTGAAGTAATACGAAGACATTTTAAATATTTAAATTATATTGATAAATTACTAAAAATACTGAATACGTGTTCAATAGGGAAACAATAGATCGAGTCTGCTATTACATTTTTGACAAGAATATCATAAATTCAGCACGAAGAGCAGAAGCAATTGACGAATAATTCATTATATAACAGCCACAAAATGCATTTAAATTTTATCAGAATTCCATAGTTTTATTTACTTCGAGCTTGAGTGTGGATATTCTCGTCTTTCCTATCCAGACCTACATCCACATCATATCGATGAGCATAGTATTACTTCCAATTGTTTTTTTTTGCATAAATACTATCAGAGTTGGATCGAGCATGGAATTTTTTTGACAATCGTCTCTGTTTGGAGAAATCAATAGAATATTTAGACGTTCATTCGGAATGAATAGTTTCTTATTGAGCAATTCTTCATGAGTTCATTTCAGTTTTCAATGTACCCAAAAAGGTCTGGAGTTACTTGTGATTAACTTAAAAACAGTAGATAATGATTTAGAGCAAATATTCGAAAGATATTTGCTTGTTCTTATCCAATTTTTAAATTTTCATGTTTTTAAGTCCATTTGTCATTGAAAAAATATTATTCGAAGAGCTTTTACACTTTGAATTTTTCTTCGGTTATTCGTCTGAGTATTTTGTAATCGCAGCGATAATCCTTCTGTTGAATTTATTGAAAATGTTAAAAATAGCTACTACTACCATTCGTCGTTCTCGAAGAATGCACTTGCAGAACGTCAAACAAAACTTCGCTTTTTGTGAGTCATTGATGCTTTGTGGTAGTGATAGCGATAGATGACACAGCTTTTTTTTCTGGTTGTAAAACATATTTACTAGAGGTTATCATTCCTCGTGACAGAAGAAAAAAATGTCAATTTTACATCGTCACCATCATATAATATGGTGCGTTTTCTTGTCTTGAATGTTTTAGATACAATAACATGATTCTTCGTCTACTTCTATATGCCATTGTACTATTAGTTTTCTTCAGTCTTTATCATTTACTGCAATTTGATTCGTTCACAAAAACGTTTCTATGATGACTTTCGTAGTCAAGGCATACCAGGCGAATCGTTTGTACCACTCGTCGGTCAATTGTCTGAAATGTGTCGTGCATCCGAAAAAGATGCTGGAGTCGAATATCGAACGGAACTCGCTGAAAAACATAGCTATGTCTATTTCACAGGATTTGGTCCAAAAATGCGTTTATCCATTATATTACCGATATTTTCGGTCGTACACATGCCCAAGATTATCAAAAACCATCCGATATGGAACAATTTTTTAAACTTCTAATTGGTTCACATAATTTCTTACAGAACGAGGAAGCTGAACATGAACGCGCTCGAAAAATGCTTAATCCAGCTTTTCACTTTATTAGACTTCAATCAATGATTTCTATTATGATCGAACAAACAATTAAGGCTATTAATGAATTACTTTTATTATCATCTCAACATCAAGTTGTTGATTTACAATCAAAACTTAATGCTTTAACATTGACAGTTACTGCATCAAGTGCATTTGGTAAAGGCTTTGAAACCATAGCTAATGTCAAACAAATTGTGTATCTAGCATGTATAGAAGTACTTGAAGTTATAGAATATCAAACAATACTCATGATCAATCATATACCATTAATCGCACAATTATCCTATTGGTGAAAGGATATTCTAGATAAAAGTTCTCGAGAAATTTCTGCATTTGTCGATCAGATTATTGCCGATCGTCGACATGAAAAATCAACTAGTCTATGTTCCGATGAGGATCTTCTCGATCTTCTTCTTTCGGCTGTTGATGCGCAAGGATACAAGTTCACCAACGAAGAAATAAAAGATCAAGCTTTGACTTTTGTAGCTGCTGGCCAAGAAATTACATGTAGTTTGATCACATGGACTATGTACGTACTAATGACAAACGAACAAGTATTACAAGCTTGTCCAGATGAAGTCGACAGAGTACTTCCTAATAGTACCGAACCCACAAATGAATGAATTAGTAGTGTGTGAAGCTGTTTTACAAGAGACACTTCATCTTTATTTGCCATCACCTTTTCTCGAACGACAATGCATTCGGGAGCACTATATAGGTAGTAAAAGCAATTGTCAAGTGCGTATTCCTACCGAAGCAAAAATTTTAATTAATACTTATATACACCTCAGCGACGAGTCAATTTTTGGCCTGGACCTCTCGAATTCGATTATCTTCGTTGATTGCGAGATTTTGTAACAGATCTCAAACCAAAATTAACTAATTCGTTCTGTTATTTACCGTTTGCAGCTGGACCACATAATTGCATTGGTCAGAATTTTGCATTAATTGAAGCTAAAGTTATATTAGCACTACTCTTTCAACGATGTAACTTCGAAATAGAATCCGGCCAGAAGATTGTCCCCAATTTTCGCATCACAATGCGATCCAACTATGGACTACGAACAAAAATTTAATTAAAATTTTCTTTTATACTTCTTTATTTATAAAATATCACCGGATATTTTTCATAAAATTGAATTAGAAAAAGTAATCGACGACGATCTATTTGTTAATGAAAGAGGAAAATCAGACAATGATAGTTGTTGAATAAGGACGAAATATTTTAGTATGAACAAACAATTTTATGCATATTTTTTTTTGTTTAACTTTGAATATTCACTCGCTGTTCATTGCAGAAATGTTGAGCGGATGAAAAACTTAAATAGGATGTAATATCTATTGAATATTTTGTGTTTTACTCAAGAGTTAACCCAGCTCATTCAAAGCTCTGGAAAGAATATCAGCATCTGACTCGTTTTCTTTCTAATGTACAAATATACAAGTAACGTTCATCGTCGAGCGATTCACTTAGCCCTAGACTGATAGAATACATGTACGGAAGGAATAGCATAAAAAGCTGCATTAAAAAAGTAATACGCAACATTGATAATATGACCAGTATACCTTAGGCGACCAGAAAACTTAATTTGGAGAATTCTCACTCTAAGTAAAGATGATGCATTTACAAATTTAATTTTTTTTTATCGTTTTTGTTTTATTTTTTTTTTTGCTTTTATGAATATAAATAGCGCCTAATAAGATTAGACAACAATACGATTTTTTTATAATTATATTGGCGCTATTTGTACGTACAAAAATATGAATTATATTATTCATAAAATTTGAGTTTTATTAATCAATATTTTATGCTTAAATTCACGCATTAATTCTAAACTATTAATAAATTAGATATTCATTGATACAACATTGCACAATCAATCTTACAATAATGAATAATTTAAACGATTTCTTTAAATCCATACTGCTCATTTGGTCTGACTCTCACTAATTAAATGCTTGTGTAAGTAAGCCGTTTTACATCACTACCCAAATTATAGTTATTCCATTGACATTTTACCCATGATTATTATGGGTTCATTTACATCAGTCTTTAGATGGTCATTTGTACCATATTTACCGGAATAGTTGTTTGTACCATGATTGCTATATGGTCACTTGTGCCATAGTTATGTGGTCGTTTCTACCAAAAAAATGACCGTTTGTGCCATAGTTACATGCTCATTTGTACCATAGTTACCTAGTTAATTTTAGTAAAAAAATGGCCGTTTGTGCCAAAAAAATGGCCATTTGTGGCACGAAAATGGTCACTTGTGCCAAAAAAGTGGTCGTTTATGCCATAAAAATGGCCACGTGTGCCAAAAAAATGGCCATTTTGACTGCGTTACCGACAGACAGACAGACACAGGTGAATTTCGGTTTCTAGACGCTAGCCTTTCAGTCTTGGGAATAGAAAGAAAATCTTATTTTATTGGCTTTGCGCGCCATTCGAAATATATATTTATTTTTATTTTAACGATCACATAGTTACCATATGGTAACCATACGTGTTACAGACAGACAGACACAGGCGAATTTCCGTTTCTAGACCCTATACTTTCAGTCTAGGGAATATAACATGATTAATCATCCACGATAAAAATTTTATGTGTCTTTCATTAATATTTAGATATAAGCAATGACTTTAAATAACAAACAAAAAAAAAAGAGAAAACTAAATATTTCTTTTCTAATCAATAGAATCGTTTAATGGCCATCGATCAATCCATTTTAATAAATATTCAATATTATTTTTTAAATCATTTTCAGTTTCATTAATAAGTTCATGAACAATTGATTCATCAAATGCTTCACGAGCTTCATGAAGACATATTTGAAAATTTTCAAATTGTATAATTTGTTGAAGTTTTTTTTCTGAATAATTTCGATTTTTTAATCGTTCATATAATTTATTATTATTACAACGTAAAACAAATATACCATGTACATAATTATTATCAGGTATTATACCTGCACTATGATAATCAATAATAAGACTAGATGGTAACAATTTTTTAAAATATGTATCATAAAGATAATCATTAATAGCATCATC